CTAATTTGTTACCCTGAAGTTCAATGATGTGATTTAGGAAAGGGCAGCCTACACTTTCCCTTTTCTCACTGCCTATTTACTTTGGAAACAGGCTTATCTGAGTGCATATTTTGTCTTTAATGTATTTAAAGCTTGTCCTATGTTTAAAACCAAAGTACATTTCAGAATGCACTTTTGCACTGTGGTGTAATATGAATAGATTTATCATTGAATGGAAATAAAGGATTTAGTTCTAACACCCTTGAGTTGGACTGTACTAAGAAGCATTAAAATGTTTAACAAGCAGCTTCCCAATGTTCAGATGCATTTCACAAAAGCTCATAAACTATTAAACTCTTTTCTGAAAGGTGACCAACTAAATAATTTATAAAAACAAAGGTTCAAGCCAGTGCAAGGATTATTACATCAACTGTCTAGTCTCTTTTTCTATTCAAAGAAATAACACAGGAGTGTAGTGTCTATGGAATCAGACAGATGGGATTTGAATTCTTCTTTACTTGCTATGGTGAGCTTGGGCAAGTTACTCTATAATCCCAAATATATTAATATAATAAGAGATTCTGAAATATCAGTGACTATTCTAAAGCATATATTTCTAAAACATCAGAAATACATGTGCATTTAGCAAAAGCAAAAGTCTCTTTTTTACAACTTTGTTTTTCTTTGCATTTTGAGGCAGTGTTGTTCTGTCACCCAGGCTGCAGTGCAGTGGCACCATCTTGGCTCACTGCAACCTCTACCTCCTGGGCTCAAGTGAATCTCGTGACTCGCCCTCCTAAGTAGCTGGGGTTACAGGTGTGAGCCATCACGCCCAGCTAATTTTTGTAATTTTAGTAGAGATACGGTTTCTATGCTGGCCAGGCTGGTCTCGAACTCCCAGCTTCAAGTGATCCACCCACTTTAGCCTCCCAAAGAGCTGGGATTACAGGCATGAGTCACCAGACCCAGCCTATCTTTTTTATTACTTTGGTTGGGGTGGGGATGGGTTAAGCAATATTGCAAACTGCCAGATATTATTATGAAACAGTAAAAATTGCTGTACTGAGAACATGTCATCCTTGATTCTCAGTGCAGTGTTAGTGTGGTCAGCTTTAGACTGAAGTACATTTTACTTCATACTAATGGAGTTGCATGGCAGACCAGGGAGGTCTACTCCAGGGCATCCCTTTAAGGCAGTTTAGGGAGAGAGTACTAGACAAATGGTAGAGCTAAATTTGCCTTTGGTTCTGCTAAGAGTATAATGGAAGACTGAACATCAGTGAGACAGATATGCACTCTAAATTGACTAGAAAACAACCATAACACAACTAAACACTTCCCTTCCATTACTGTTAAATCTAGCCCTCTGCCTCAACTTGCCCTGCTTTTTTCCCCCTTCTCCCAGATTGAGTCAGTGCTACTCCATCCTTAGTTTAGATCCCTGCCTTACTGGAGCCCTGTTATCTCATAGTTGTTGTATCTTTTGTGACAGTGCCAACACATAGTTGTTAATTCATGGGGCATCAAAATGATTTCCAAGTCACTAAGAAACAAACATAAACACTGAAAAATGATTCCCATCCCCTAATTTTCATGGGAATCTATGAATTAGAAAGATATGAAAATTGAGATAAGTAGGGGAACAGTATACAAATTGTTAAAAAAGATTTTACAAAGTATAGTTTATGTTCATATCTTGTCATTACCTTAATTATATTAGGCATAATATAAGTTTTGTGGGCACTGTCTCTTTAGAATTACATTTTTACCAACTTTTTATTGATGTGTAATGCACATACAGAAAAGTGGAATTTACATTATTAAGGTCTTTAAATAGTGTCACATGGCCATGACTGCCTTATTAATTTCTGTTGTGACGCAAAATATGATTAAAATTGTGAATTCATGTGTTAGAACATTCTCAACTTTAAAGTAGCATTAAGTTCAGTTGTGGTATGCTGCATCAAACTTAGTTCTGAGTAACGCCTAGAACAATGCACAGTATTTTATATTGGCCAATAACCAATGTTTTATAACTCCTGAACAAGTGGATAAACTGAATTCAGTATGAAGTTCAATCTAGATCTTCAAGGTTATATTTTTCTACTCATATATATCTATCTGCATATAGATATATATGCAGCGAATAGTGTTCTTAACAACTATGTTAACTACAAAGAATAAAAAGATTTTGCAACAGAGTTGGAATGGAAACAATTTCTGAGATAGAGATCAAATTGTGTTTAGAGAACCATTATTGGCAACTTTGCTATCGGTCATTTCCTGTGGGAATATTTCACTGGGACATAGTTTTATGCTCTGACTACTCATTAAATAGCCTGGGGCCCATGGAATGAAAAGATTGTAGAACTATAAATATCAATATATGCAAATTATAGTGTAACATTTCATCACATTTCATTGCATTTTCTTAGATACGAATTAAGATTATTTAACAAACTGTGTCTCTTACTCATCGCAGAAAGAATTTTAAAACAACACTAATATAGCATGGTCTAGTGGAGAGTTAGGCAATAGACTGGAACTAAAGCCACTTGTTCTAAATTAAAATTGATACTAATTCAAAAATGTTTATTCATCATGTACAATATGTAAGATGCTAAATTTATACTCCTGTAAAGAATATAAAAGTCAATTATAAACAGTTTCTGCCCTTAGGGAGTTTATGAATTTTCTTGTGAAGGAGAAAGAGCATGTATACAAATTGTATAAAACAAAAAATAGTAACTATACTATGAGTGGGTGGGAGTAAAGTACTATTGAAGTTTAGAAGAACTTGAGTTCCTGTCTGGAGATCCGAGATGACTTCATAAAGAATGTGGCTGAGCCAAGTTTTATTATTTTATTTTTATTTTTTTGAGACAGAGTCTCCCTCAGTCATCCAGGCTGGAATGAAGGGGCGTGATCTCGGTTCACTACAGCTTCAACCTCACAGGTTCAAGCGATCCTCCCACCGCGGCCTCTAGAGTAGCTAGGACCAGAGGTGCACACCACCACATCTGGCCCTTTTTTTTGTTTATTTTGTTTTTGTTTTCATTTCTCATAGAGACCAGGTTGTGCCATGTTGTCCAGACTGGTCTTGAACTCCTGGGCTCAAGCAATCTGCCCATCTCGGCCTCTCAAAGTGCTAAGATTACAGGCATGAGCCACCCCATCTGGCCTAGAGCAGAGTTTTATAGAGTGGGTAAGATTTCTGCAAATCTTCTCTCTTATCTGCAAATCTCAGATGCAGATACAATTATTCCAGGAAGCAGAGACCAGGTACAAATAAAAGTAGTATAGTCAAAGCACATTCAGAGATTGGAGCCATTGGACAACAAAACTGACATAGGAAAATATACTGCAGCTGGAAATAAGGTAAATTAAGGCAAAATTACTTCATTTTATTCAGTAATGCAAGCATTTATTTCTTCAACAAATTTTTCTTAAGTATTTGAGTATCTACTAAGTGCAGGTACTGTGCTAGGTGTTAGTACATTTGTAACTCAGAAAAAGGCCCTTTCTACTATATGAACACTAAAAAAAGTAACTCAAATCAGGGATGATAGCACGACTGATTCTTGTCAATCACTGAATCAATTAATCTCTGGCAATGAGGGGTACTTTAGTTTGCAACTGCTACCCAGAACCTGGAATTTAATGTTTTTGGGAGACGGCTGGTATTTCCAGATTACACTGTGTCTCAATTTCAATTCAATTGCTTCTCAACTCACTATTTAAATTAAAATGAAGTGTTAGCTTTTTTATATCAGAAAGCTGCAAACCTGATAGTCTTGTAGGTAGGGTGATGGGGGACATTATGTTCGTGGCTTCATTTTACAAGTTTTGGCTGATGTAAGAATTAATTTTGTTAGTATGCATTAATTGAAAGAAATAAGGAAAAACAGATTTAAAAGCGACATCGGTGGGTGGGTTTTGCTTTAATAAAAGGACTCTCATAGAAAAGGAATCGCTGCAAATTTCTTTTAAATAGCTACCTCTCTGGGCAATTAAAATGATTGATACATTTCTAGAACACACACACCGAGATACACCTGCACTCATACTTTGTCCGTCAAAACAATCTTTGTTTTCTCTCAAGCTAGGACTTGCTATGCCTAAGACACACCTCGTGCAGCGGTGGCGGTGAAGGTGCTGGGGTGACAGCCAGGAGGACACTTTCCCTTTCTCCGGCTCCCTAACCAAAACTTTGCAGGCACCAGCCCAGACTCATGTTCCCGCTCGTTCTTCTTTCCTCTGCCTCAACTCTCTCCGCACCCTTCGCGCTCTGTGCGCCCACCCCTGCTTCCGTCGGTCAGCTTCAGCCGACCTACTACCCACCTCCCGGCTTGCGACCTCAGCCTCCACCTGCACCACTCGCCCACCCCGGGAACCCACCTCTGCGGCCCCTGGCCCGCGCGTCCCGTCGCGGCCCGGGGCTCCGGGGCATGCGCGTTGCGGCTCCACAGCCCTCCCCCACGCCTTCCCGCGGCAGAGTTATGCCAAGTATGTGAGGAGCCGGCGAGGGCCAGCGCCGGTCATGGGGAGCCGCCGCCGCCTCCGCCTCCGCGAGCGCGGTTTTCTCCGCAGCGGGTCTCCGACCTCTCCCCACGGCTGGGGTGAGCCTCGCGGCTAAGGCAGAGGAGATGGCGGACCCTCTGAGGAGGACGCTGTCCAGGCTCCGGGGAAGGCGGGGTCCCCGCGGCGCCGGGGGGCTAGGGCTCCGGGCAGCAGCGGCAGCTGCGGTGGCGGCCTCTTCGGCAGCCGCAGGAGACGCCTGGGGTGCCGCAGACACCCCCCAACGTGAGCACGCCGGGGGAGCCGGGCCAAGCCTACAGCAGCCCCCGCCGTCACCTGCGGCGTGGGGTCCCGGCGCGCGGGTCCCCGGAGGGCACCCGGAGCAGTCGGGGGCCCTCGGGCCTCGACCGCGCTGCGGGCAGGAGGCCGCCCCCTGGAGCCATGCCTCTCTGCACGCCCCCGAGGGCTCCGAGGGCAGCGGAGAGGAGGAGGAAGTGGACGAGGACGAAGACGACTACGACGCCGACTACTACGAAAACCTGCCCGGCGGCTGGCAGCCTGCGCCCGAGCCTGAGGGGGCGGAGGCGGAACGGCGTCCCCCGCCTCCCCCAGCGGCGAGCTCCTCCCTGGGGGCGGAGGGCGGCCGCCTGGAGACAGGCAGGCTGCGGACCCAGTTGCGAGAGGCCTATTATCTGCTGATCCAGGCCATGCACGACCTGCCCCCTGACTCGGGAGCGCGGCGGGGCGGCGGGGGCTTGGCGGATCACGGCTTCCCCGCGGGAGCCCGGGCTCCGGGCCAGCCGCCTTCCCGCGGCGCTGCGGACCGCCGAGCCTGTCCCCGAGACGGGGAGCGGAGAGGCGGCGGACGGCCTCGGCAGCAGGTGTCCCCGCCCCGGTCGCCTCAGAGGGAGTCGGGGGGAGGCCAGCTGCGGACTCCTCGGATGCGGCTGTCCTGCAGCAGAAGCCTCGAGAGCCTCCGGGTGAGTGCCAAGCCGCTTCCCTTCCAGCGGTGGCCGAGCGACAGCTGGATCAGGTGCGGCGGGCACGGGGACTGGGACGAGCCCCCGCCACGTGGAGGCAGGATGGACGGCTGGAGTGGGGACCGCGCCCGGGCGGCTGCACCCACCGGCCTCCAGCCTCCAGGCTCCAAGGACCACGGCTGCTCCTCGGGAAGCCCTTTCAGGGATCCAGCGGGGTCCTCTGTGATACGCAGCGGCAAAGGAGACCGCCGGGAAGGCCCCTCCTTCCTCAAGCCGCCTGCAGTGACAGTCAAGAAGCTGCAGAAGTGGATGTACAAAGGGCGTCTGCTGTCCCTGGGAATGAAGGGTCGTGCCCGTGGGACGGCCCCCAAAGTCACAGGAACGCAGGCAGCCTCCCCAAATGTGGGCGCTTTGAAAGTGCGTGAAAACAGTGTCCTGTCGGTGCCCCCAGACCAAAGAATTACGCTGACAGGTAGGATACTTTGCGATCAAATAGCTAGCACCGCGAGCTTTACTGTTTATCGACTGGGCTTCTGTCTTAAAAGCCAAGAAAAAGGTATGTTTTTGCAGACAGGTACGTTACCGGGCCAAAGTAAGTGTCATGTAAGTGGCAGCTTAAAGTAATTTCGAGGTTACTTAATATAATGCATTTACTCGTTTTGCTTTTTGTTTTGTTTTTTAATCAGACAGTGGCATGAAGAATTGGGGTTGTGTTTCTTCTCGAAAAACCAGTGTGCCTATTCCCTAAGTATTACGTGAATGAGTAAAGGTTAAGTTTAACACACTTTTAGTAGGTTTACAGATGGAAGGTACTGTCGTGATTTTTTATTCTTTGTAGCTCTAGGCAAATCCATAGACTTTTGTGGAGTTTGTGAATTTGAATTTGATTCAAGGTAGATTTTATAGGCTTCATGAACTGTCATTTTACTCATTACAACTTTTTTTTTTGTCTGTCCCAGGCACGCACACACATGCATACATACACACAACCAAAACCCCAAACAAATCAAACAAAAAAAACCTACCATAAGTAGAATTTTTTAGTCAGGTAGTATTTCACATACACCATCTCTCCACCTGCCTACCTTCACCAAAGAAACCTCAACAAAGTAAGTAATCTTTTTATTGTGAAAAATCAAGGACACTAACATTTTCATCAAAAGAAAAATGTCCCTCAGGTACTTTTTTTTGTTTTAAAAGCAGTCATTTACAAACTTAAAATCTATTTATATGAGAAGTAAATTAGTTTTTTAAAAAGTATATTGATCCTTATAATAGGATTATGCTCCCTATTTTGTATGTGCATGATTTTTAACTATCACTGAAGGTTTAGGTTATCAATGCTAGAAACCTGTGAATTATGTTGTAAATATCAAAATATCTTTCCTGAAAGGAGTATAATATCTTCAAAGTGAGCCAAAACAACATGGTCTTTTGAATACTCTTATATATAAAAATTTTTAGTGAGCATAAAGACTTATAAGTCAGGAATAATTTTGAAAACCTTAAATCCTGAAATGTAAAAGGTATTCACAGTACTTGGCTGTTTCTCTGTTAGTAATTACAAATCATACAGGACTGGATTTATACACATTAACTTTGTTTAACCAATAAACACACAACAGTGGGGAGAAACAAAGTTCACAAAACTTCTTATCAAACAATGAAGACAAATCAAATGATTCATTCAAAGTGTGTGCCAACTTGCAAAGTTTTTTCCTGTCTATACAGCGCTAATACATACCTGTCAAATTTTATTCTCAAGGTTAAATATTCCATTTCACTTGAACAAAAGGATAGTAGAATATAAATTCTTTAAGAGAGGTGTACTTTATACTAAGTTCATATTCAACATGCATTTCCAGGGGTAAAGTAATTTGTAATCATTTATTATATTTTATTGCCACAATATTTTTACCTCCTCGTCTTTGCCTTAGTTTTAACTCTTGGTACTATAGTTGAATTTCATCCATAACAAAAAAGAGTCAAATATTTTGCACCCTTTTGTTGCAGTACTAAAACATTTACCATGTGATGGCTTTTAATGCCCTCAGTAGTAAACATTCAAGGATTTTTAAAGTAATAAATATAGTTCCTTTAAGAATGAATTTGATTTTTGCATTAAGCAACTAAATGAAACTGCTTAGAAATTAAAATGAAACAGAATTATATGATAGTATTTTAGATATTTCATGAGAAATCTAAGCCAAAGCTACCATAATCTCTGGTTTAAACAACTCTCAGATGTTCCTTCCTTTTAAATCACTAATTCATCTTTCAGGAGAGATGAAAATAATTTGTGCAGTGTTTACATATCTAGTATAGATTTGGAGAGCTTTTTAAAAAATTATTTTTCATAAAGTGTAGTTGGTCTTATTAAGACCATTCTGGATACATTAGGTGGTTCTCATATAATTTTTATAGCCCCAAAATGGAGATATGCTGTCATTTAATAACAACAACAAGAAAAAGAACAGAGAGGTTACGCAGTTTGCCCAAGATCACTCAATTGGTACCTGTATATGGATTCAGACTACTATGTGGATTCAAACTCAAGGTGTCATGAGTTTGAAAAAAGCCCCTATTTATATAAGATCAGAGACTCGAGAGTTCTTTAAAGGTCTGATCCAATTAATTCTATTAAATTGCTTGGATTGAGGATATGGGTGAATTTCAACAAGGCATAAGGGGTAAGTAACTTCCTCAAAGTTGCAAAGAAGATGGGAGACTCTTAGGCTAGGTTTAAGGATATTTTAAAAAGTAATTGCTGTATCCATTTTAAACTTTTACCTTTAAATATTTACTTATTTCAAATTGATGTTACTTGACTTCTACTTTTAAATCACGTTTTCTGCAAAACTTACTTGGAGCGGTCTAGATGAACCAGTACATTCTTGTTTATGTAAAGATGTTAAATATTCGAAATGGTTTATAGCACATTTTTCTGTACAATATTATTCATAAGATATTTTCTGTCAAAATAAAATTATATTTAGAATTTGTAATACCGAATAATTATTCAGTGAAATGGAGATACTTAATCTATATAGGTATTGTGAAAATTTTTGAGACTATATGACAAATGGAAACACAAATGATTTTCTATTTTGATTTCTGGCTCCTACTAAGAACTTTTGATAGTATTATAATGCCAAATGATTTGATGCAGTTAAGTATGTAGTGTTCACAGATTGGCCGATTTGTTCTTAATTGAGATGATGATTTAAGAAATCTAAAGTCATTACACATAGTAAAAATTGTCAAGTTTCTGCAAGCCTTAAAATTACAAAGGAATCTTAATGTGTTTGCCAACTATACATCATTATAAATCTTTATAAATAAGTTTTAATTAGCATATCGTTTTCAGAAACAAATTCAAAAGCACCTTTTATTGCTTTAAAAAATAATTAGCCTACTTTGACTCCACTTTTCCTGCTACATGGTCTGTGAAAGAAAAAACTTGACTGTATAACTTAGTATTTTGTCTAAAATTTTTAGACAATTATTTTAAGGTAGTATTAATTAGTTTGGTATGATCTTTAACCATCTTAAAGTGAAGTTGACACTATGACTTGATTCTCACCTACTTTTCTCAAGTATTTGTAAACTCTGATTTTTTTATCTTTATGAATTACATAATCTTTATGAGTTTTTCCAACAACTTTTTTCTGTATTGGCCCACTTCAAGATGGGTAGCAATAGGTATATAGTTTTTTTTCAGTCTTCTAGTTTTAAATCTCTGCCTGAGAGATTCTGCTGTTGTGGTGCTAGAAAGCAAGTGCAGTTGCTTTTTTTTTTTTTTCTTTCCTTTTTTCTGGAAGAGTGCCATGGAACATTGGAGTTGCTGGTGGCTGGAAAACTTTGAGAATTACAAATTCAGCAGAAAATAGTGGTGTGTTGATTTGAAAGTCCTACATTTCTAGACCAGTGGCTCCCAAGAAATGTTGTGTTTATTTTTTTAAGAAGGCTGTTTGCTAGACCTTTGCCACTCAAAAATGTGGTTCACTGTTTTAGAGCAGTGCTTTTCAAACTTAGTGTCCATATGAATTCCCTGGAAATTTTGTTGAAATGCAGATTCTATAGGTGTAGGGTGGCTGAGATTCTGCTTCCAGTGTAGATGCTGCTTTCTGGTGGACCATACTTTTGAATAGTAAGCTTCTAGAGCTCTCACATCCCTGAAGTTTTTTTTTAAAAAAATTCTACCTTATTCTGATACTTGGTACTTAAACTACCTCTATTAGAGCAAAGCAGTTGGGCTCTTTTTGCTTCAGTTTTATGTATATGAATTAATGTACTTACTACTTATATATTACAAATTTGAGCAGTTCCCTCCATATTGGTCTCATCTTGCACTAACAAATATTAGTGAGATTTTGGAATCTGCAGGAGAGGAGGCCATATAGTACAATGGTTAACAGAATAGAGATTCTCGGTTTCTGGTCAGACTCTACCACTTACCAGACTTGTGACCTTGGATAAGTTACTCAACCTTGTGTAGTCTCAGTCCTCAGGTTGCTGTGAGGATGAAAAAAGATAATCCATTTGGTACTGTACCTGGTACTTACTTATTATCAAGGGGAAGGCAACCAGGCTTTGTGAGAATGCTGCTTTGCCTCAGATCATTAGGATTCTAGATGGAGAGTGAAAAGATCGAAGTTGAGGAGTACTGCCTTAGGAGCACTGGGAATAGAGCTAGAGGACACCTTTTTGGGGTATTTATTTATTCTGCTCATCTTTTGTGCTTCTTTCTCTTGCTGCTCCCTGTTACTTTTGTGGAACTGAAAACAGTCTCAGAGTTTTCTTCTCTACTTTCCCCTCTCAAAAGCTAACACACAGCTTTTTTTTTTTTTCTTTAGGGTTTTTATTGCTAGTCACAAGGGAAGAAAAATAAAAGAAAAAAGGTGTTTCTTTCCTTTTCATTCTATCCCTCTCCCCCTTTAGATTTGTCTAGGAAAGATAAAGATACACACACACATAAACACACACAGAAACTTAAGACTTAAGTTTATTCTAGTAATTTCATTTGGACTGCCAAGTTTGTAAGCAGGGGATACTTGTACTCATTTAGAAACAGGATTTTAATAAATATTAAAATGTTTAATGCTTTTAAAACATAGATTAAAACATCTAATACAGTGTTCATAAGATACTTTTATTTGGGATTTTTAAAAAGAGGTAAGGAAAAGCAGGAGTTTATGTCTGCAGAATTTTTAAAATGATGAAAGATGTCTCTCTAGGTACTAGAGAGATCTAGTACCTAGAGAGACATCTTTCATCATTTAAAAAATTTTTTTTTTTTTTTTTTAGATGGAGTGTAGCTCTGTCACCCAGGCTGGCGTGCAGTGGTGTGATCTTGGCTCACTGCAAGCTCCCCCTCTCGGGTTCACACCATTCTCCTGCCTCAGCCTCCCGAGTGGCTGGGACTACAGGCGCCCATCACCATGCCCGGCTAATTTTTTGTATTTTTAGTAGAGACAGGGTTTCACGGTGTTAGCCAGGATGGTCTCGATATCCTGACCTCGTGATCCGCCCGTCTAGGCCTCCCAAGGTACTGGGATTACAGGCATGAGCCACCGTGCCTGGCCAGTACTACACATTTTCAGTGAGGGTTGAAATATACAATTTATTGGAAAATTTGCTGATGCATTTGAGCTGGGCGCACTAGTTAAATGTTCAGTAATAGTAAGTAATCTAGATTTATTATGAAATAATAGTTGAGAAAACAGATTTGACTTGGGTAGTTCACCACTGTGTGGAATATTTTTCTGAGTGAAAAACTTTTAATTGCCACTTCTGTTTTCTCTTACAGATTCAAAGTAAAATAACTTTAATTAGAATCTGAAAATTATCTCATAACATGCATAGTTGCAAGAGACTAAGGACTTTTTTGCCTTGTAACTTTGCATACTTATTTTTATATTTTTACTTGGACCTTCTTTCTTTTTTTTTTTTGAGACGGAGTCTCGCTCTGTCGCCCGGGCTGGAGTGCAGTGGCCGGATCTCAGCTCACTGCAAGCTCCATCTCCTGGGTTCACGCCATTCTCCTGCCTCAGCCTCCCGAGTAGCTGGGACTACAGGCGCCCGCCACCTCGCCCGGCTAGTTTTTTTTTTGTATTTTTTAGTAGAGACGGGGTTTCACCATGTTAGCCAGGATGGTCTCGATCTCCTGACCTCGTGATCCGCCCATCTCGGCCTCCCAAAGTGCTGGGATTACAGGCTTGAGCCACGCGCCTGGCTGGACCTTCTTTCAATGTGTGTGTGTGTGTGTGTGTGTGTGTGTGTGTGTATATAATGTATATGTTATATTTTTATATATAAAATATATTTTATTATATATTGTATATATTTTATATATAATATATAGGCAACAGTGAGACCCTGTCTCTTCAAAAAAATTTATAATTTGTAAATAATATATATTTTACATATATATGAAGCTAAAACTCCTAAATTTATGCTAATATGGTTAAACATTAATTGTTGCATTAAATGGGAGGGAAGATTGCAAATAGCTTTCCATAATGAATTTACATTTGTATGGATCCATTTAATTTAAGTGAGATAAAAATGTTTTAAATAATTTATAAATAATTGCTCAAGTAAAGTTTATTATCTTGAATAATGTGTTGATTAATTCAGTTTAATAAATTTATTTGGCCTTTGTAATATTATATATTTATAATACATAACATAAATTGTAATAACGTGCCATTTATCTATAAGTTTAAAGTTCAGCATCATTTATTTTAAAATATTCGGCAATAGCAGAGTGAATGGATTCAAGCTTTTGTGGTTTATAATTTCATTGAAAATAGTGGCTAGACATGGTGGCTCACACCATAATTCCAGCACTTTGGAGGCGGGGAAGCAGTAGGATCACGTGAGCCTGGGAGTTCCAGACAAGCCTAGGCAACATAGGGAGACCCTGTCTCTACCAAAAGAAAAAAAATTAGTCAGTTGTGGTGGTGCAAGCCTGTAGTCCTAGCTTCTGGGGTGGCTGAGGTGGGAGGATCACTTGAGCCTGGGAGGTTGAGGTTGCCGCAAGCCATAATAGTGCCACTGTGCTCCAGCGTGGGTGACAGAGTGAGACCCCATCCAGTAAAAAAAATAATTCCTTTTAATATTATACTTTCATTAAATGATTATATCAGTGGAAGTATCAACTTGCTTAAATATGGGATACTGGTAGCTTTATTTTTCTCATTGCAGTTCCTTGCAATGTAGTAGAAGCACGTTTAAAGACTCATTTATAGTGTACGTCGGAAAACTACACTAAGATTTAAAATAATGAATGTGTCTAGCTATATAAAAATTTGGAATTTCTAAGAGATGTCTGAGAAAAAGATAAAATAAGATGTGGCTCATAGCCATTATGAGTAATGTAATTTTATACTGTTTGCTTCAAATTTAAATTGGGTCAAACTATAATATCCTGTGATGGTCTGAAATACTGTTAAGTAATACTGGATTTGAACTTAAATGTGAAATAGATTTAGATTTCAGTGCACCTGGCAAAATCATGTGATCACTGAAAACCCAGAAAGCCCAGTGATTGCTGAGTATGTTTTGATTTTTCAGTTGTTAATTTTAAGTGTAATGGAGATAGAACCAAAGAAAGACTCTTGAATTTCCCTTATAGTAGGCTAGGTATATCACCACAAACTTTGGAGTCAGAATGAGTTTGAGTGCTGCCTTTTCCATTTACCAACAAGGTGCTCTTGAACAAGTTATTTGACGTTTTTGAATAGAACTTTATAGTTTTTCAAGTATTTTGAACATTATTTCACTTAGTCCTTACCAGCAACCACTTTAATTTATAAGATAAATTGAGATGAATACCCCCATGTTCAGAGAGGGTTGCCTGCTTCTGTACTGTTTGTGGGTAGCATGGTATGGGTAGCATGGTGTGGTTTGTGGGTAGCATGGTGAATGGAGCATGGGTTTTAAGGTTAGATAGGCTTAAATTTGAATCCTGGGCTAGCGACTTGACCATATTTCTCATATTCTTTGAGGCTGATGATGGTAATCATACATGTTTCATAGGATTGTTCTAGAGGTTAAATGAGGTTGGGGGCCTCCTTACTGCTTATCTCTCATGCCTGCCGCATAATAGTCACTCATTTGTGGAGTAAATCAATGCCTGGCATAGTAGGTATTCATGGGAGCTTCTTTCCCTTCTGATTTCTAGTCTAATTCCTGCATCTGGAATTGAATGTGACTTGCAATTTGTGTTTAAGATTTGTTTATTTATTTATTTATTTATTTATTTATTACAAATCTGCTTGTTTGGGTACATGTTTAGAATTTTTTTGAAAGAAAAATTAATTAATTTTTTTTTTTTTTTAAGAGACAGGGTCTCACTCTGTTGCCCAGGCTAGAGCACAGTCATAGCTCACAGTGGCACAATCATAGCTCACTGCAGTCTCACATTCCTGGGCTCAGGCAGTCTTCCCAACTTAGCCTGCAAAGTAGCTAGGATGACAGGTGTGTGCCACCACACCTGGCTAATTTTTAAATTTGTTGTAGAGATAGGGTCTTGCCATGTTGCCCAGGCTGGACATTCAGATTTTGCCATGTTGCCCAGGCTGGACATTTAGATTTCTTTAGAAGGGAGGTTATTGAAAACCTTGATTACACGTAAATCTGATTTTTTGGTTGTTATTAAGCTCCTTGTAGCTTAGTGTGTTTTATCACTCTATTTTTAGACCATTATTATTTTTATTTTTTAATTTTTTTAAGAGATGGAGTCTCGCTGTGTTGCCCAGGCTAGAGTGCAGTGGCGCGATCTCAACTCTCTGCAAGCTTGGCCTCCCGGGTTCACGCCATTCTCCTGCCTCAGCCTCCCAAGTAGCTGGGACTACAGGTGCCCGTCACCACGCCTGGCTAATTTTTATATTTTTAAAGTAGAAATGGGGTTTCACCGTGTTAGCCAGGATGGTCTCGATCTCCTGACTTTGTGATCTGCCTACCTCAGCCTCCCAAAGTACTGGGATTGTAGGTGTGAGCCACCGCGCCCGGCCTAGACCATTATATTTTACTTGCTGTGCCAATAAGATGAGTTGACCGTATAATTCCATAATTTAGAAACCTGAGATGATCTTAGATTTTTACAAATGTGGTTTTAATTATGTATGGTGAATTATTATTCTGATGATAGTTATACACTTAGCTTATGGATTGTCATTGAAGCCTGCTTTACAACTCTGGAAACACAAAATATTTTCCTCTTTATATGAAATTAATGTTATGTATACATTTGTACAGTCTTACTTAAGATATGCATATATCTAAGCATTTGAGGTCTCCCATTGGACTATGAATTTCTTTTTTTTTTTGAGACAGAGTCTCACTCTGTTGCCCAGGCTGGAGTGCAGTAGTGGGATCTCAGCTCACCATAACCTCCGCCTCCTGGGTTCAAGCTATTCTCCTGCCTCAGCCTCCTGAGTAGCTGGGACTACGGGCGCGTGCCACCATGACCAGCTAATTTTCGTATTTTTAATAGAAACGGGGTTTCACTACGTTGGTCAGGCTGGTCTCAAACTCCTGACCTCGTGATCCACCCACCTGGGCCTCCCAAAGTGCTGGGATTACAGGCATGAGCCATCGCGCAGGGCTTGGACCGTGAATTTCTTAAGGGAAGGGATTGTTTTGTTCATTCTTATTTCCCTGCTGCTTAAGTTTGTGCCTGGCCAAAAGAAATAATAGCTGTGTAGTGCATATTGTGAGACAGCATGCCTGCTTCTAATCTGGGGCCTTCTGAAGGGATTTTTGTTTTTAGTTCTGCCCTAGATATTTAGAACTTAAACCCTACATAAAGTGCTATTGTGTTATATGGATAGGAAGCCAATGTTATGTTGACATTTTAATGTCAGTAAGGCATACTTTCTTGTTAGGTTTGAAAGTTAATCTTTGTGTGAAAAGGTAGGAGGAATATTATATTTTTAAGGACTTCTGGTCCTTGTAATAATGAGTGGAAACGTATTCAAATATTGATTAGAGGTATGCTATGTATAAAGCATTCTATATAAGCTTTTTATAAGGTATGTTTTACTTAGGGTAAGGCTTTGTTAGCACTGTAGTTTTTAAAAAGGCAGTCTTCGAGTTTGTATATCCTTTTTCTTAGAATTCTTTGACACTTATACTAGCAGTTTGATTTCTAAATAATATAAATCATATTTATATGTAAAATTCAATTTTTTTCTAGTTCAATTTTAGTCTCTGTGATTGTTGTTACTTTTTGTTTAAAAAAATTTTTTTAAATAACTGGGCTGAAGTGACGTGTCTTTCTGATATACCAGACATTGTATTCTACCTTCTATTCTATCTTTGCAACAGATTTATTTGGAAATGCCTATGAGTCTTCAATGAAGAGAAGAGAACTTGAAGATCTGAAGGATAATATTGAATTCAGAGGTCATAAGCCACTTAACAGCATCACTGTTTCAAAGAAACGCAATTGGCTATATCAGAGTACTCTGAGATCTCTTAATCTGGAAGAAGAAAATAAGAAATGCCAAGATAAAAGTCATTTATCCATCTCACCTGTGTCTCTACCTAAATATCAGCTATCACAGTCTTTCCTCAAATCATCTAAAGAGTACTGTACATATGTGGTATGTAACGCTACAAACTCTTCATTATCGAAAAACTGTGCTTTAGATTTCAATGAGGAAAATGATGCAGATGATGAAGGAGAAATATGGTACAACCCCATTCCTGAGGATGATGACCTTGGTATGTCAAGTGCCTTGAGGTTTGGTGAGGTTGACTCTGCTGTTCTGAAGCTCCCTGCTGTCAATTTAAGCATGTTGTCTGGCAGTGACCTGATGAAAGCAGAGCAGCATACTGAAGACTCGCTGTGCTCTTCCGAACATACAGGTGATATTCAGAGCACATGGTCAAATGGAATGAATCCTATGGATCCTGCCCGTTCCACAGAATTTGTGCAGCAGTACAAGCAAAGGCTAGGACACAAGACACAAGAAGGTGTAATGGTAGAGGACAGTCCTATGTTGAAATCTTTTGCAGGTAAAAATGATCATATATCTGTCTTTTCTTTCTTCTTCCATTTTTCAATTATTTGATAGTAGCTAAAACTAAATATAAAAGATGTTTGTTATACTTTTTCTTGTGAATATATTTTCATGAAAATAAAACTCAAAAAGGTTTATAAACATTTTAACGTACATGCTGGTTTAATTATTACTATCACAGACTTGATCTTTGTTTTATTTTATTTTTTAAGAAAAGGTCTCACTCTGCCACCCAGGCTAGAGTACAGTGGCACAATCATGGCACACCGCAGCCTTGACGTCCAGGCTCAGGTGATCCTCCTACCATAGCCTCCTGAGTAGCTAGGACTATAGGTGCCTGCCACCATGCCCAGACAATTTTTGTATTCTTTTGTAGAGACAGGGTTTTGCTTTGTTGACCAGGCTGGTCTAGAACTCCTGACCTCAAGCCATCCACCCACCTTGGCCTCCCAAAGTGCTGGGATTATAAGCGTGAACCATTGTGCCTGGCCACAGACTTGACTTTATAGTCCAGTGTGCTTTAATATGCCAATCCTTTGAGATAGTAATTGCTTGTCTATTAGTTGGAAGCAAGAAATCATAGGGAGTTGAAGAAAAAGTAAGTCTTATTTTGCTTCATTCATTCATTCATTCATTCATTTACACCTGGCCTGGCTGCAGCTGAAAAGTTTTATTTTTAGTGTATCAGTGGTCATTAGTTTGTGTTTGTTATGCCTAAGTTTCCTCATGAGCAA